GTGACTGACATTACCTGCATAAACCAGAACTAGGCTAAGACCATAAAAGGCTCTCATCTTTACACTTTATGCTCAAGTTTTGCCTTCAACCTTTTTTTTTTTTTTGAGACAGTCTCGCTCTATTGCCTAGGCTGGAGAGCAGTGGCTCGATATAGGTTCACTCCAAACTCTGCCTCCCAGGCTCAAGTGATTCTCCTGGCTCAGCCTCCTGAGTCGCTGGAATTACAGACGCTCGCCACTATGCCCGGCTAATTTTTGTATTTTTAGTAGAGATGGGGTTTCACCGTGTTGGTCAGGCTGGTTACGAACTCCTGACCTCAAGTGAGGTGGCGCCATCTCGGCTCACTGCAAGCTCCGCCTCCCGGGTTCACGCCATTCTCCTGCCTCAGCTTCTCGAGTAGCTGGGATTACAGACGCTCGCCACTATGCCAGGCTAATGTTTGTATTTTTAGTAGAGATGGGGTTTCACCGTGTTGGTCAGGCTGGTTACGAACTCCTGACCTCAAGTGAGCCGCCCGCCTCAGCCTCCCAAAGTGCTGGAATTACAGGCATGAGCCACCGCGCTCAGCCTGTAACCCAATCTTTAACAAGCGTATGCTCATATTATTTAAGAAGAACCTATTTGTCTTATTATTGATTGCCTTTTGAAAATTTGTTGGGAATAATTTACCTGTAGGATTTAGGGATGTCAGAAAATTCTGTTCTAAGAAATATAATTATTTTATTTACCGTCTAAAGCCAAATATTCTTACACAGAAAGGTCCTCTGTTCTGGTTTTACTTTGTTGCTAAGGGTCTTTCCTTCCTGTCGGTCTCTTCCTCTCAGGCCACTGGTCCTGTGTGATTCCACCATGGCTGGCCACCGGAAAGGGGCAGCTTGGACCCTTAGTCAGGCCTGAAGGCCATCAGGAGGCACAAGGACACTGAGGCCCCATATCTGATCCGACCTTTGTGGGGCACAGGGAGAGGCCAGAGGGAGAGGAAGGAAGGTGGAGGAGGAGGAGGAGAGCAGGCCAGGGGCTCCCTGCAGCGACTTCTGCTGTTTCTCCTGGAGCCACAGCCAGGTGTAGATAGCAGGTGGTAACAAGCCTCACACTTCTATGCCCAAGTGAAAATCTTTACCAGTGTCTGAGGGAGCGCCTGTACCCGTGCAGTCACCAAGAGCAGTCCTGGGTCCTTTGTGCTTACACCAGCATCATGTGGAGAGCAGAGGCGATTTCCAGGAGAGACAGGCCAGCACCGTGAGGAAGGTGGCTGTGCTCTCCCCAGGTGTCTCAGAAACAGATGCCTTATTTAGAATCAGCACTACGTGTGTGAGATCTTCCGTTTCCCACCCCAACTCCTGAAACATTGCCGACACTGCGAGAGTTGGGGTCTGTAAGTTGTCCCCTAGTTTGTTAAGAAAATCTAAAATAATATTTATTGTATGAGGAGAGAGAGAGAATGGGTCCGTGTGGCCTCCTTTGCAGAGATATGGGTCTGAAACGAGGTTCTGAGTGTCACTGGCCAGGCCAGATGTGCTCATGTCCGTATCTTGTGTCTGTTTTGTGGAGAAAACAGTATGGTATGTTTATGCTACTTGTGTTCTGTTGTAATATACTTTTAGAAGGTTAATTGGTAAGGTTAAGGTAGCATTAACCACAAAGATGTTTGGTATTTAAAAAATATTCTCTAGCAAGTATTAGAACTTCCAAAATATATGTATCATTTGTACAGGGTTAATTTTGAAATAATACTTGAAAATTTCATTATAAATATATCCTTTTTATGTTAAGTTGAAGATGTTATTTACTAAATTGTTCCTGTACCATTAGAAAAGAAAAATACAGTAATTTACATTCTTATTTATTTGGGCTGCACTACCCCTTTGTTTTAATATTAAAATCAAGAAATCGGGCCGGGCGTGGTGACTCATGCCTGTAATCCCAGTACTTTGGGAGGCTGAGGCGGGTGGATCACCTGAGGTCAAGAGTTCCAGACCA